GAGGTGATGGAGGTGGGCACAGGAGGTGATGGAGGTGGGCACAGGAGGTGATGGAAGTGGGCACAGGAAGGGGATGGAGGTGGGCACAGGGAGGTGATGGAGGCGGGCACAGGAGGTGATGGAGGTGGGCACAGGAGGTGATGGAGGTGGGCACAGGAGGTGATGGAAGTGGGCACAGGAAGGGGATGGAGGCAGGCACAGGAGGGGATGGAGGTGGGCACAGGAGGGGATGGAGGTGGGCACAGGAGGTGATGGAGGCGGGCACAGGAGGTGATGGAGGCGGGCACAGGAAGGGGATGGAGGCGGGCACAGGGAGGTGATGGAGGCGGGCACAGGGAGGTGATGGAGGCGGGCACAGGAGGTGATGGAGGCGGGCACAGGAGGGGATGGAGGTGGGCACAGGAGGTGATGGAGGTGGGCACAGGAGGTGATGGAGGTGGGCACAGGAGGTGATGGAGGTGGGCACAGGAGGTGATGGAGGTGGGCACAGGAGGGGATGGAAGTGGGCACAGGAGGGGATGGAGTCGGGCACTAGGAGGTGATGGAGGCGGGCACAGGGAGGTGATGAAGACTGTCCACCATGAAAAGACAGCCTCCATGGCCTTCAGCTTCTGGCCTGGAGTTCTGAGAGCGAAGGTTTGTTTGCCAGGCTTTATTTTGGTGAGATGCTGATGCTGATGATGGCTTTACTTCTGGAGAGGGGCAGAGATGCCAGGAGCAGGCAGGCGTGTGTCTGGCGCATGCCTTTGTTTTCTCGTGCCCCCTGCTTTGGGTCTCTGCTGAGCTCGGGTGGCGTGTGTAGGGCAGACTGGCCCGTCTTTCTGGCCTCCGGGCAGAGGCAGCGCAGGGCACGGTCCCCCCCCAGGGACTCTGGTGCTGGCAGCTTTGCTCAGCGCCGCTGCCAGGGTCCTCCCCCGGGCAGCGCAGTGTTGGCTCTGGCCCGCGGCACCTGCCCCGAGGCACAGGCCCCGAGGGAGCCAGGGAGAAGGAAGCTTCCTGCCGGCAGCCGGATAACGAGGGCGGACGGGGCTGGGAGAGCCACCGCACGCACACCTGCGGGAGGGCGTCCACGCGCCGCTGCCCTCCAGCTGGCTCGGCACCCTGATGGGCACCCGGCGCCCGTAGGCCCAGGCCCTCCCTCTGCCACCTGGAACGGGTCACTGATGACTTGTATTCGCTGCTGCCAAAGGGCCCCTGCCGTGTCTGTCAGTCAAACTGAAAAGTAATTAGAGTTTTATTCTCTCCGGTGTTTAAGCGGAAAGATGGAGGCCTTCACATGGCGGTGCCCAAGTGAGGGGAGGAATGATTCTATTCCGCTGGGCCCTCGGGGGGCGGGCGCCTGCACTTTGGGCTACAGGGGGGAGACCAGTGGGCCTCACGGTTCTCCCTTTGCCTCCGAGCCCGCTGCACCCGCAGAGCCAGTGTCCGGTGGCAGCTACCCCAGCCCCAGCTTCATCGCACCCCACACATCCCCACTTCGGACGCCCAGAGATCAGCCTTCCCAGGGAGCCCCGTGGGTATATTTGTGGGGGAAATGAGCGGATTCATGTTGAGTTAATCTGTCCCTTTCAGTTTAATTCCTTCCTTGTCCCTCATCCTCAGGGGTCAGTATTTGGCTCAATAAGTCATGAGAAATATTCCCAAAATCTCGAGATGATGTTTCTCTGGGACTGAGAGCCTTGCAGGTGCCCTGCTTCTGCCGCCTTCTGGCCTTGGCCTGTCCTCCCCGCCCCAGGCCTCTGGGTCCACTGGGGCTGGGCGCGCACTGGGCTGTGGGAGCATGGGCCGTAGACGCCAACGTGCTCCCTAGACCTGTAGGCCCGGATCGGAGCCACAGGAACGAAGGTGAGTCTGCCCTTTGGAGCGAGGAGCCTGCCTCACCGTCCAGGGGTGACGCTGGACGTGGAGTCCCCCAGGAGGTGGTGGTGGCTTCAGCCCAAGGCGACAACACCGCCTGGTCTTAGAGGAAGATTCTGAGGGGCTCAGGAGGGCCAGGGATCTGGTGGGTGTTGGATGCGGGGATGAGAGTGAGGCAGTGCCTGGGTCACTCCAAGAGTTAGGGCTGGTGGCTGGGCAGAGGGTAGGGCCGTCACAGAAACAGGAAGCAGAAAGGAGGGGAACAGACGACTCAGGGGGAGCCCAGTGAGCTGGAGCTGCCTGGGGGGCAGTCTCGTGAAGAGTTAGTAGCACGGAAAGTGGCCATCCTCTCCATCTGAGTCCCCACAGACTTTCCCGTGGCCTCAGGTCCCTCAGCACCCAGCCCCCACAGGCAGCGTGGGAAAAGGGAGAGAGAGGGCCCCTGCAGTGCCTGGGAGCCGCACCGTGTGCCCAGTGAGCGTGTGCGCGGTGGGTGCCCATCCCGCAGAGCAGTGCACCCATCTTTCCTCGAAATGCACTCTGAACACGGGGAACCGGGTGTGCTGCGTGTTCACCTCTGAGAGGGCAGGTTCCGTGTGCCCAGTACTGTGCAGGCTGCTGTGCTTCAGTCTCCCCGTGGTTTCTAACCTCCTACGATGGGTGCTTGTCTTTTGAATTCTGGCCCAGTGCTTCCTGCCTCGACGGTTCGGACCTCTGCTGACCTGTCCCGGATCGCTGAGTCTTCAGTGCGTTCCCGTCTCCCCAGTTAGAGGGCGATGCCGGGTCCGCAGCGAGCCCGCCCGGGCGGCCGATGGCTGTCGGCCGCGTTTCCTTGCGGCGCCCTTGGTGTTTGGGAGCTGTTCTCCACTCGCTCGGAAGCAATTAGTTTTGAGAAAGCTGATTCTTCAGGGTCCAGTGCTCGCCTGCCTTTCATTTGCTGGGGCCGCTGCACATTTTAATGAAGTTGTTTCATCTCGGTTGCCAAACACTAGGTTTCTGCTGCTTCAATTCTAATTATCTGTGCTGGCAAATGCTATGTTTTATTAGAACCCGCGAGGGCTCCGTTTGTTCAATGTCCATACGCTGGGGCGTCAGGCACACAAACTAGGTCAGATGTGCTTGTCGCCGGGTTACGGATGGGAGAGCCACACAGTCTCCCCGGACCCGGCACAGGGCGCGGGACGGCCTTCAGCGGCGACGTGGGATGTCGGGGAGGCCTCGTCCCGCGAGCCTGCGTCCTGCGGCGCCAGCAGCCGGCCGGCCCTGGCTCCCGAGCGTCCGAGTGACCGGCTGTCCGTGACGGCTCTCGGATGTGTTTTCGTTCTTTGGGGTGACATGCTCATTCTTTCCTTTCCGGCAGTTGCCTGACACTTGCATCTTGCTTCCTGGGTTGTATGTCAGTGGCTGCAGTAGGAAAGGAACCACCTCGCCCCGTCTGGCTACAAGCTCATCGATCTCTCCTTTATCCTCTGCACCAAGCCTGAGTGCCCTCAGCCATGAGGGGAGGGGAGGCTTCAAACCAGGGCGTGCCTGACCCGCAGGCCCCTGGGAGCCTGGGCAGGGGCTGGCAGAGGCCTTCGGTCTGCGGGGGTCCGGGACCCCCAGGCCAGGAGCATCGGACCCAGTTGGCTGGGGCACGCTCCTGGGTTCTCAGTGTTCAGGGTGATGCAGGCATGGAAAGTGGGCTTTTGTACAAAAGGAAATGCCTGTGTCAGTGGCTCTCGCCCTGAGAGCGTGAGGGAACAGGAAGCGTGGGCTTCCCACGAGCCAAACACACTGCCCAGAGCGGCGTGGCAAAGGCACGTGTGACCACGAAAGGTGTGTGCATCGCGGGCGCGTGGCTCTGCCTCCGGCGGGACTGGCCTGCACTTGCTCACAGACCGGTCTTTGCACGGGGAGTGGTACGAGTCGTTTCACTGCATGGGACAAAAAGGAAAGATTGATTAGCTTCTCATCACAAAAACAGGTCTCCTGCGTAACAGTAGTTACTTTGTCACGAGTAAAACTTGTCGCGTCCAGTTGGCGCTTATTAATCACCCCCTCCTTCCAACTAACTGTAGGAATAATGAGATGAAATTAGTGGCAGGCCATCGCAACCACAATTAATCTTTGTAAGCTGGTGTCAGCAAAAACAGTCCACTTCTAAGCGCCTGTATAAAGAATGTTAGAGATCTCCAGGCTTCGGTATTCGGAGGGCAAACTCCTTGTCTTGTATCAACAAAGACCTGGCAGGTGAGCCTCCAGAACTCACGTGGCGGTCCGCAGGGCGGTGCACGTGTGACGGGGCAGCTTCGGAGCCAGGTGCGGGGTGGGTACTTCTGTCAGACTTGAAACCACGTGTCCCTCAAGGACTCCGGCCGCTCTGCCGCACGTCCTCACTCCGCGACTCGGGTTATTGGAGCATGACCGGTCACCAGGGCAGAAGGAAAGAGGGATGACAAGGCCTTCCCTGGCCCTTAAAGCTTCTGCCCAAAGGATTTAATTGGCCAAAGCAGGTGTCCTGGTCAACTCTAATCACAAGTGGGCAGGGAAGTGACCTCCCAGGAGGAAGAGGTGGCAATTTGTATACATTTGTAATGACTTAACTCAAAGCCACACATGTGGACGATCATTAAAATGGAAAGCTGGTTCCTTGAAAGACCAATGAAATAAGACAAAGCTTTGGTGAGTCTGATCCACAAGAAAGGGGGAGGAGATAGTGTACAAGGTGATGCAGAAGATTCAGGTCACAGAAGATCCATGAAGATGTAAAAGAATGCTGTGCACAATTTTATTATACGTGCAGAAGTATTTCTCAACTGATCTCAAAACATCTTTCAGGCCTGGTCTTCTCAGTCCCAAGTGCTTGATGTCTGTCCCTCTGACTCCTTTGTCCCCGTCTAAGCACAGAGGGCTGTGTGGTTGTCCAGTGCAGGCAGGGGGCTGCGTGCAGCTGGTGCTCCGTGTGGTTCAGGCTGCCTCCCAGCTCACTAACTCACCAGGGGGCGTGCCCTTGTGCGAGTGCACCTGCTTCCCGGCAGCACAGAGGTCCTCATGGCGCCTTGTGCGAAGAATGAGGGGATGGAGGTCATTTGCTCATTTGTCTCTCTCATGATGTGATTGTATTTCTGTGTAGTTATGATGCAAACTGTCATCTCTTGCAGGCCCACCAGGAGAACATTCTGGGTAACACCATGCAAAGTGTGATTGCATTGCTCCACAATCTGGTTGCCTGCAAAGATTCGAACATGCAGCTGCTTTATGAACACGGTAAGTGCTTCTTAGAATTCGCTTAGATTCTGTTGAGTTTTGCCTGTTTGTAAATTTTCTCATCTTACATAGTAGGGAGTCATGAAGTACCATTTAAAGTTAATCAGTCAGCCCAGCTGGTGTTGCTCAGTGGTTGAATATCCATCGGTGACCTAAGAGTTCACCAGTTCAATTCCTGGTCAGGGCACATGCCCAGTTGCGGGCTCAATCCCCATTGGGGAGCATTCAGGAGGCAGACAATTGGTGTTTTTCTCACTATCCCTCTCCCTCCCTCTCTCTCTAAAGTAAATAAAAACACAATTTAAAAAAATAGTTTATCAGTCAAAATAGATATTTAATGTCCTATAAATAATATTACGAGCTATAAGGAAAAGTGTGTTAAGATTGTGATAGCTTCTCTACATTAATTTATTTTCTACATGACACACGGTAAGTAGCATTGCTTAAAGATGATAATTCCCCCCTCCTCCCAATAAAAACCAAACAAACCACAAATGCAAGTGTAAGCAAAGTATTTATACATATTGCTGTCAGGCAAAATAAAAACATATATGGTCCAAAGCACCTCATAAAATGAGACTGAACGGGTCGAGTGTGAGTTTACTTTGCCTCATACATATCTGTAATATTACAATTGAGGACAATTTTTAAGACACTATATTTTAAGGACAGTTTTAGGTTTAATACAAAGTTGAGGGGGAAGAAACAGAGATTTTCTATATAATCCCTACCTGCACACAGATAGGGGATGTGTTGGTGTTGCCTCAGTCTATTTTTCTGGTTAAGGAAGTACTCATCTATTTTAATTTTATCTTTTGAAATGAAGAATAAATAAATACTTTTGGCTTCTATGGAAATAATCAAATGATTTTTCCTTGGATCTATTTATGTAATGAGTTGTATTTAATAGATTATGTTGTGTTAAACCATCGGAGCACTTGAGTCAGTAACCACACTTGATTGTGATATATTATTCTTTAATTGTGCTACTTAAGTTTTTGCTAATTGTGTTTTCAGGGAAACAGGGTAGGTACATAATACATTTACATCTGTCTTATAAACTAAACCCATGTACTTGATATTTGACATCTGGGGAATAGAGTCCCATTTCTCAAATATGTTCAGCTTTCATCAGTTCCAGAAACTAGATCAATGCCATCCTTCAACCAGAATGTAATGGGAGTGGCGTGAGATTTCCAAGCCCGGACAGCAAGGGTCTTGCAGCTTCCATGCAAACTCGTGAAATGTTACCGCCACCCAGGGGAAAAGTCTGAGCCATGGCTGGTGGGTGCTCTCATGGAAGAGGCCTGAAAAAATTGAACAGATATAATACTTTTAAACAGGCTAGAAGAAAATGCTCCATAGGTAAATATGCAAATTTAAAAGGTGAATTGTGTCCTTGGGGGACGGGGGTGGGATGGGGGGGGAACGATACAAAGTGTCATATTCTGGTGACAGTATTAAGCATCAAGAACAGAGAAAGGCGGAAACTGATTTGGCTCAGTGGCTAGAGCGTCAGCCTTCTGACTGAAATATCCCAGGTTCGATTCTGGTCAAGGGCATGTACATTGGTTGCAGACATGTCCCCGGTAGGGGGTGTGCAAGAGGAAGCTGGTCTATGTTTCTCTCTCATTGACATTTCTGGCTCTCTATCAATCTCTCCTCCTCTCTGTGAAAAATCAGTAAAATATATATTTAAAAAAACACACACAAAGAAACAAAAAACAGAGAAAGGCTAAAATCGGTTTGGCTCAGTGGATAGAGTGTTGGCTTGCAGACTGAAAGGTTCTGGGTTTGATTCCGATCAAGGGTATGTACCTTAGTTGCAGGCACATCCCCAGTAGGGGGTGTGCAAGAGGCAACTGATCGATGATTCTCTCTCATCGATGTTTCTAACTCTTTATCCCTCTCTCTTCCTTTCTGTAAAAAAAAAAAAAAAAAAAAAAATCAAGTGAGGTGAGACCTCATGGGGTTTTGATTTTCATTTTCCTAATGGCTAATGATGTTGAGCATCTTTTCATGGGTTTATTGGCTGTTTGTACATCTTCTTTGATAAATTGTCTATTCAGATTGGGTTGTCTTTTTAGTACGCTAGAAATTCTTTTGCTTGAATTTAAAAAGATTTCAAGTATTTTCATTGCATTGCCCTCTGCTAGGCATTTCAGAGATGATTTGTGTGGGGTGACCTTGTAACGGGACAATATTGGCGTAGGAGATAAAAGAACTCTTATTTTTTACACAGCACCCGCCAGGACGGTCATTTTAGGGTGCCAGTTTCCGCCTGCCACTCCCTGTGCCAGCCCTACCCTGCTTTTCGGAGCAGGGCTGGAATCGTTAACAGCACAGACCTGACGCCCCCTGCTGCCTGGCAGGCACTGTTCCCCGTGCTGTCCGGGCACGGCTGGTTTCTGTCACGCACCCGCTTCCTTCTCCCCCGCACCTTCCCACGTACCCGTCCCCATCCTGCTCACCTCCCTGCTTCCTCCTGAGCTCGGCTCAAACTCCCTTTTCTCCAGGAAGCCCTTAATGAAACCCCACGTTCTCTTTCCTTGCACTTATCACGGTTGTCATTAAAATAGGAATGAGGTCCCGATGGCCTCGCCTCCTGAGTTTTCTGTGGAAATCCTCACAAGCCCCCAGATTCTTCCGGAGCGGCAGGTGTAGAATTAGCTCTGCAGGTCGCAGGGCTGACTGGCTTTGGAGAGTGTTGGGAGGGGACAGTCTTCCTCCTCAGTTCCACCTGCCAGAGCCTCACACATTCATTGCTGTGTTCTTGGGCAGGCGTTTTCCTTGCATCCCCACATCTTGGTGCCCAGATCTTGGAAGCAATCATCTTTTAATCTGTGGGCTCAATAAACATGCCAGTGTCTAAAAAAGAACTCATTGATTGATTGATTGATTGATTGATAGATATTCATGTCATCTGCTGGAAGGAGAACCCCATGAACGCAAGAGCCTGCCCGTCCATTCACTGTTGACCTCCCTGTCCCTGCCCTCTCCGCACAGTTCCTGGTGCTCAGCGGTTGCTCTGTAGGTGGGCGCTGGCTGGATGAATGACAGGGAACCCTCAGTGCAGAGCTCACTTTCCATTTCCTGAATAAGGGCCTCACTTCCTGCACCTTGCCCAGCCTCAGCCCCTGGGTGTCAGCCCCAACGTGTCTTCGGATTTCAGCCCTCACGTCTAGTGCTTCATATCTTTCTTCCCTCACCGTGTGTTCATTGAGATCCTAATGGATTCTTCTAAGGCCATCCAAATGAGCAGCATTTGAGACACAGTGACTTTTCATCAGCTCTCACCCCGTTGCTCACGTCTGGAGCCTGGCTGGCTGGTCTTAGAGGGGCAGTCCTGTCCCTGGGGCACAAAACCCTCAGCTTGGATGTGGCGGAGTGATTTTCCGAAGCTGCAAACTTATAAGCAGTGGTTTTATTTTTTGCTTCAAGCTTTTTTTTGTCCAACCTTAATTTTGAAATATGGAGAACTGTGTGTTAGGCAGATAGATATGTCCCCTTGTCTTTCTTTAAAGTTTCACTGAGATGGAATGGCCCTCGTGTCGCTGCTCCCCTGCCCACGTGTCTCCTCACCAGGGCTCAGGGAGGCCCCTTAATGTCTGAAATTCTCTGAAGCATCAAAGCCATATTATCACTCTTCAAAAAGGATTTTTCAATATAGGAAAAGAGGGAGACGTTTAACAAGCTTTTTGGCTAGATCAGATTAAAAACATGTTAAAAATAGGAAGGAGGGACATGTAACAGAAGGTGTGAAATTATAATAGTGTCAAGGAACAGCACACAGTAAGTGGTGCCTCCTAAAAATACTCCCAGGAGCTACGGAAGGAACTTTGAAGCCGTGCTCCAGAAAAGAAGTTATAAGTTCATTATTTAGGGGAGAATTGGAGAAGTTAGCATGTGGAAAAGGAACATGGTATGTAATGGAAATAGCTGGGTCTGAACCCTTAGTCTGCAAGTTGATGAGATACTCTTGGGTCTTAATCTCTCTGGGATAATGATACCTATTTTGTATGTTTGTCTTGAGGATCAAATGGTAATATATGTAAATTTGTCATGTATAATTAATAAAATTAGCATAAGTATTTAAAAATAGCCAAGTGGTCCTCCCATGGGACCGTGTAAGCAGATCATTAGAAGGAGAGAAATGAAACTGAAGATAAATTATTGCGACAGTATCAGCCACTTAAAAAAAATTGTTTTCATTGATTTTTAGGAAGAGGTGAAGGGAGAAGGGAGAAATAGAAACATTGATCAGCTGCCTCCTGCACACCTCTTACTGGGGATCCAGCCCATAGGCATGTGCCCTGACATGCCTATTGAACCAGCAACCTCTTGGTTGATGGGTTCACACTCAACCATTGAGCAACACCAGCTGGGTAGTATCAGCCTCTTTAAATGAGTTAAAATATATCACCCCAAAGAGGTTATACTAGTGATGCAGAATAATGCATCTAACAAAATGAATATGCTGCCATTGTTAATGGAGAAAAGGAGGGTCTAGTCAGGGAAGGCCTGCAACCCTACTTAAGAAGCACTAAAGGAGATGAGACCTGGGAAATGGAAGTCATGAACCTACAGATCACAGTCAGAAAGAGTGAACAACTAGAAGACTGTATTTGGTCTGCGGGGGTGGGGGGGGGGAAGAATCAAAATTTCGGGTGGATTAACACAAAAAGTTTCTCAGTTGTATAACAGAATCTGGGGCATTTCTGGCCAGTAGGTGGCTTTGCTCTATCTCCTCCCATTTCATAGCGTCATCAATTCCCTGGATATTGAAATGCTCTCTATCCAGCAGGCAGAAGGGTAACACTACGGAGAAGGCACACCTGCTTCCTAAGAACCCCAGCCAGGGCATCCACTTCCTGTTTAAGATAAGGTCTTCCCAAAGATTTGAAGATTTGAGTGTTGAGAGATCAACCTCTGGACAGAGGGAGGCAGGAGGGAGTGCTCCCCACTGAGGGTGACAGGAGGTGGAAGGAAGGCTCACAGAG